CGTACGCTGCGCAGGTGCTTATTATTTTGAATGTTTTGCTTTTCACGACACTACAATTGCTTTTCAACGCGAATTAGCTGTAATGGTCTGGACCGTGGCATGCAAGGCGTGTTACGAGCCCGAGTGAGACCTGCTCAATCATTCGCCTGCATAGCAATCGAGGTGATGTCCTCGATTATGGCGCAGATCGGTCGCAATTTCCGCACCATCCGTAATGGTGACATGACGAAGTGGTGATCCCCCCTACGGCCCCTCATAATAAAGAGCACATCATGGTGTCATAGAGATAATAAGAAATAAAGTTTCGGTACGTAAACCTTTCAAATCAAAGCAACAGGAACGGCTTCGTTTCTTCATTATTCGAGGATAAAAAAATGAAAAAATATCCGTTCCCTTATGCTCAAAACAAAGAAACAAAATACCGCAAATCATTGAGTTATTTAAGTAGCTATCTGAAGCAACTTGGCATTTTACTTCCATTCAGAATGAAAAACGATTTTTTATCAATGTTGAAACGCAGAAAGCCTTTTGCTATGTGATTCACCGGGAAATGGTATCAGTTTAAAAGCTAGCAAGAAGATGAAAGGAACGAAGCATGTTTTATGCATGTGGACGAAAATAAGTGGGAGTACCAATCAGAATTTTATGACATTGGAAAAGGAAAAAGAAAATTGCGTAAAATTCAAATAGCAATGTACCTCATCATTGACGTCGTTATACTCCCCATCACAATGCTCCATAGTACCATTGCATGGTGGATTGTCTCGTGACGATGTCGGCCTTGTCTGCACCAGTTGAGTCCTCTCGACGTTGATCGTCGTCCACTACACTCCAAACAAGAAGCCGAGACGGAATTTCGTCCAGATTGGGAAAACGCCCTAGCAATACTTATCTGTGGTGCATAGAATTGAAGACAGAACACGAATATAAGTTTCGTCAGGTAAATTCAGAAGGTAATAGAAAGATCTTTTGAGGACCTTAAAGATAACAGCGGACCAAACAATTCGACTCGATGTTTCTGTTTGAGTTGTAACTTGGGATCTTACCTTGATCTCGTAACAGAGCTGCAACACGTGGCAGTATGCAATTTCTCAAGTGAAGTAGTCTTGTTAAATTCGCATCAACATTCCCAACGCTTCTATCAGCGCGCATCTAAGAGACGAAGCAAAAAAATGAAAGCTATAGAACGAAATTAGTTGACTCACTCTTCACTCACCAAGACTTCATAGACAATCCTTACATATGCTGTCTGATCTGCGCTAACAAATGAGTGATTTCCAAGAGCAACAAGATGGCGAACATAATCTCGTAAAGCATTCTGTATGCGATGGCTGAACTCAGCGTCTGAGACTGCAAATGAAAAGCTTGAACTATCGAATGCATCCATGAATAATTTACCAAGGAAGATTAATAGCTAATTTCAAGTGCTTCACCACCAAATTCTCAGAATCATTACATAGTGCCAAAATGAAGCAAGCAGTTATATTTGAGATTAGAGCCGGTAAATGGCGCTCAAGCGGAGACTGCTTGAGGCTATCCATATTCACTGGTCGTCTATTGCTTATGCCACCCCTGATTTTTGAAGTTTGGTTTACTCGATTGTAATTCCATTAAAATTGGACAGCAGTTATCATTTCTAACAGGTCTTATGACAAAATGGTATTTTTGATCTCAACTGACGTGGGAATTCAATTTACTGCATACTTTACAAAAAATGGATCACGTCAGTGTAGCTGCTACCCTAAGAATTCTTCAGAATTTCTCTTCTCCGTGACTATACAGCTATATTCTGCGTACAGCAAGAACGAGGAACCCTACACCTAATATATTGGGTTGTTCCATAACCTGGCCGATTTTGGTTCAAATTCAATTTTCTTCATGTCAAATTAGCTTCATAACGAAATAAGTTGATATGTTGAAGAACACATCAGGACCTTCAGCCAGGATGTTTCAGAAGCTCAAATGCGCAACGGGATAATTAAGTAGGAATCAAAATAGATCAACGACCAAACCCAACGATTATGCCTTACGACAATTTTAAGAAGAACCTTGCAAGGAGCGCGGTAGGCAAGATCAGCGCTACGTTTGCCCCAGTCTTTGCTACTGATCGGGCACTGAGCTATTGGCTCAATAGCATCGGCAAAAACGATATAAGCTGCAATGTTCGTTCTCATCATGGACCCCAGGTCAGGGACCCCTTACGCTATGAATCGGAAGCGCATCCGAACGCTATTACCAGGAAACTGTAGCAAACATCTGGACGCAGCCTACGCTCCATGAGTCGACACCTGAATGGAAGGGGCTGTAGCAGAATGAAGCCTCGATGGAAACAGCATGCATCGACTGACCATGACCGAGAAGCACGCCTGACCATCTGCAGAAGTTTCATTCTGCGACCGTATAGACAAGACATTCCCTAGTTGGTCACCAGTGCAGATGAGTCATGAGTCCACTACGATAACAACACGCGGCACGCCTGGTGGCTACCTCGCAGCCTGGACGCACATCTCAACCAAAACCCGAGCTCTTCATCAGAGAATATTATTTACGGT